AACTGACCACAATTTTGACATAAAAAAAATGCTACTCTAATTAAAGGAGAAAATAATTCGCTAAGATAAAAATTTCACCATTCTTGGCAGATTTTCTATTATCACAATATGGGATATTTGATGGAAAGAAAAAGAATATAGGTGAATTTTGCTGGATTGCAAAAATTATCCCCAAAATGTTCTTTCAAAACATTTTGAAACTACCAGTGTCTCTCATTCATGCACATATGTAGTCACAACAATGTCAACAAACTATGTCTGGTGTAGTCTCAATGAATAAAATGTGTCACAAATAAACATTTTCCCATTTTATCTCACAATTTCCTCAATATATATATATATATATATATATATATATATATATATTACTTTAAATATTATTATAGTGGACACTTCTTATTTGAAATAGACATCCCATTTTTATTTATTAAACAATGTATATTACATCTATCAGCTTTTCCATTTGAGAAATCTAAGTAAAGAAAATGCATTCCACCAGCAGGGATTGAACCCATGTCCCTCTTTGTAGAGGAAATCAGTTTGATCCAGTGTGTTTTATTCCTCAATCACAAAGAATATCACAGCAAGCAAAGTTCTGTTTACTACAAAAACATTTGAAGTAATAAAAAATATTGGATTAAAAATAAATCCATTAATTCTTTGGAGATATACATAATTATTATTATTATTATTATATATAATAAAATATTATTATATATATAATAATAATATAAATATTATTATATATATTATAATAAAATAAATTTGTTCACTTACAAATGAGTTTTATGGAATCACATTCATTCTACAGGAGAAATGATGGCAGGATGTTTCACCATCAAGTCTCCTGAAGAGTGGATGGGATTCAACAAAACTCAGAGTAGAAACATTCAACAGCTAAGCAAACAAATTTATTTTTATTGTTATTAATACTGTCTCTTGATATCCAGCACTCTAACTACAAAGACTGTTTGCCTTAAAGGTGTTATCTTTCAGATTTAGCCCTGCCAATTGATTTTTATTATTGCTGTTATATATATATATATATATATATATATATATATATATATATATGCATGTTCAGATGTTTCCTTTTATTTACTTTATTTCAGGTGAGAAATGGTAGGCATTGTGTCTTGGAGAAAGTAAAAGGGAGTGGCAGATAGAACATTCTATCCACATGTGGCTTATCTCTGTTGAAAACATGGCATGCAAAGGCAACTGGGAGACAAAGGCTCTTGATTTCTCTACTGTCACAACCATACTGTTGGCGTTTGTGTATTTTAAGTCTCATATCAAAACTTAGATAAAGACAATCCATTAACGTCAGAATTTCATGACCACTGAATTCAAAGCATTCCTCAAACAGTTTGAGTTGTCAAAGTTTGCTTGATCTTTTTGCCTAGCTTATGCATTTTATAACATGAGAGTTATTATTGCTCACATCATGAAGAGGTATGGGAAAATGATAGAAGATAGATAAGACAAACTCTCTCGCTTATTAATCTACCAGGTAGAAGTAGATATAGTAAATATGCCCGGTTCAAACTCCTCCTGGCTTTTTGAACAGGAGTAAAGGATTGTTTAGGATTGGATTTTTGGTTCCTTCCAAAATCTTTTCATTCTCTTTCACTCTCAGTAGCCCCTTGCATTTTAGTGGCATTATTGCATTGCATTGCATGGGGTGAATTGATTAAAAAAAATTAAAAAAAACATTCTTTATTTTATATTTGGTGCTCAGATGAAAGCATTTCCTGAAAGGCTTGAAAAAAAAAAAATCAATAATAAAATGACACAAAAAACAAAAAGAATAAATCTAAATAACATGAAAGCAGAAGAGAAAAATCTAGCGCGAGACTTTGTTAAAATGCAATGCATATGTCAGGGTTCAATGGAGGTAGAATTAATTTAAGGTCAGAAAATGCATGCAGGGTCTTTATTTATTAAGCTTAGTTTAGTTTTGGCACAAGGCTATAAGTATGAGACACACACTAATAATCAATGCTCACTACTCAGTTGTAATGGTTGACCAGACTCAGTCACTGACCCTCATCTGATAACAATACAGGGGGAGAGGAGGTTAAAGGAAGAGAGTGGCAATAAGATGAAAAGATGAAGATATTAATTTAAATTCAATTGCAATTTTCTCGTCATCAAAGGAGCTTTGAAATCAAGAGTCACAAACTCAGGGACAAGGTAGCAGGGAGGAAAACTCATCAGAATAATTATCCTGAATGTATTTATAGAAAAGGCGCAGGGAAGCTATGTTATGGGTGTGGCAAAGTGACTAAAGCTCTTAGGGAGAGGATAAATCAAATTCTCTCAATACTCTACCCCAAGCCATTCTCAACCAATTTTAAAAGCACTTCTTAGGCTTCTCATCCCCATTAAACATAGATACAGCACAAAAAGACAGACAATAAATTTACTTATGACAGAACACCTAAAAAAAAAAACTTTGACAGTCTAACATACTAAAAAAACTTAAAAAAATTTTTTTTTAAATCACTAGGATATAAAATATCAGACCTAATAGGATCCTTAAGCCCCTTTGCTGCATGTTTTATAGTATGGAGCTCTAAATTCAACAATGAAAATATTGGTGCATTAGGTGTAATTTTGTCTAACACCACAAACTGTTACAATACATTAATCAAAGAACTTACGTCATGTTCTTAAATAACCTTGTTTTATGAAAATAAAGATGTATAGCATCCAACACATTCAGAAATGTCTAAACTTTCATCTACATACAACAGTTTTCTCAGATCAATGAGTAAAAATGGCTTCAAGTAAATGAACCATGTGTGTCTTGAAGAGGACAACACTTCATGAGAACTCACAGACTGACACTACAGAATTACAAAGAAAGGACTTTACCAAATAACAGAAAACCCATCACATGAAGACTTATGACAATAGCAACAACTAAAATAGATACTGCATATAACTTGAAGAGAAGATAATATCAAAATCAAGATGACTTTCTCAACTACTTTTATATAAATATATATTTTATATTACAAAGAGTCAATCATACCTTGAATCAATTAGTAATATTAATGCAATTATTGGCGAAATCCCTTTGCTAGTAGACATAATTATATGCATTATACTACTACTAATCCACTGAATGATGAGATCCTTATGTATAAATGGATATGGTGTATTTTTTAATTCAGCTAGTACTTTCGAGTGTTTCACGCATTCATCTTCAGGCTGTATTTTTTTTCTTTAGAATCAAAACTGGGAGACAAAATAAATGTGTTTTTCCGACCGAAAGATGTTTTTAAGAATGAGCTATTTATTAACGGTTATGTTATATATGTAAAATAAAGTTTTCTTTTTTTTTAGTCACATTTTATGTCTTTTTCGGCTTATGTTAATTTTAGGTTTTAGCCATAATTTTATCAATAAATTTGTTCCTCATGAATTCCCCTATAGCCAATTGACCCTGATGATCCCATGTCGTGAAACCTAGGTGGGTAGTACTTGGCTAATTAGGATTTATTTTACCTTTGCTCTACTTAGTGTATCGAGCATTCTTTGTTTTAACTTATTACTCGCTGAAGTTTTTTCCTTTGTACCAGAAATTTAAGGTACTTGACGATTTCTTTCACCCTGTTTGGAGGTTTCTGGTTCTTTTTTTTCCAAAAATTTTTTCCTTAGATGCCAATTTGTTTGAAAATTGTGCTATCCAGGTTTTTAGATTTATATTATATATATAAATAATTAAACATATACCTATATTTACAGTATGACCTAGAGTTTCATGGCTTTCCTATTCATCAGGTACAAAGAGTTATATCTCTTTATTTAGATCATTTATATATATCTATATGTGTGTGTGTCTGTCTGTCTGTCTGTGTTCTGTGCAAACCATTTTTTATGACTACTTTAATGTTGTAGGATATAGTAATTACCAACATCCGTAACCTTGACAGAGGTTCATTGAATCAGAGGAAATACAATAATAATTTTTGCGAGCAGGCTCTTGATATTGTCCATATAGGATGATCAGACAAATTTACAATGAAAGAGAAAAGGAAGGAAGAAACAAAGAAAAAGATAATCATAATATTACATAGAAACTATAATCAAATTCTAGTTATTTATTAGTGACACCTGTCTATTTCTTTCATATCACTAATCTATTCTGACTGTGGCTTAAGTTCACCTGCATTCAGGCCTGACAGCTTACAGTCCACTGTATGAAGAAAGCATCACCAGCATTCTGACTAGCACATTAAAAGTTTAACAGAGGTTAAGAGCCATGGATTTATGTTAATTCGACTCAGATTAAAATAGTGAACATGAAACTTTAGTGAAGTCTCCCATTCTAGTTGATTGCATTTTACTCATAAAATTGACAAGTATCAAAGGTTTGATTGATTCATTTTCTATGGTTTATCACCCCTTTGCAAGTCTATTTAAAGCCAGAAATATTTTCAGATTGTAAGATTTTTTAATTTTTTTTGGAGATAATAATGGTTTATTAATACAAGTCTTACTAATTAACCCATAGCTGGGAGGGGAAGACTTGGATTCATACCTAAACAAAATTTGATAAAAAAACAAGAAATAATGTGGATATAAAGACGGGGATCACTTCTATATTACAATCAATAAGTAAACTGACTCCTTTGTGGCCACAGTAGTTTCTACACATTTATATTCTAGAGAATGAAAATAAATCTAAAAGTCATGCTTGTGTAGCCAATTAGTATTTCATTGGTTGATTCATTCATTTTCTACAGCTTATCAACTCTTTGCAGGTTATTTAAAAAGCAGAAAATATTTTCATATTGTAAGATTTTTTTTTTTGAGATAATAATGGTTTATTGATACAAGTCTTACTAATTAACCCATAGCAGGGGGTAGTTGGATTCATAACTTTCCCAAGGGTATTTGCACATAAGTGAATCTAACAAACCCCATTCAGTTCTCCAATTGACAATACCAAGCCATTATTCATTACACTGCCTGCACATCTAAACTTATAGCACCTGGTATTCCCAAACAGTCACTCATCTAGGTAGTGTCCAGACTCAACATTGCTTAACTTCAGTGATTATATGGGAACCGGTATTTCAATGTGATGTGGCTATAAGCCTAAGTATGAAAGAATGTAACCTAGAGACTGCAGATGAAAAGTAAAGGAAAAACCTAAAATGATAATATTAGCCATTTCCTTATGTGGAAATGTTCATCATTCATTGACCAAACAGTCAGTGCTACTTGGATAACACTTTCCATCAACTACCTGGCTATTAGGTTGGGATCAAAGTGTAGTCTCTGCTTTTGGATGGACAAACTACATTTTATCTCTCAATTGTGTTTCTGTCTTTGAACAGAGTGCAACTGATAATATTATTAAGAGGTGGCCCGGTCTCAGAGAACAGCTGCCCATAGCAGTATCTTCTACATTGCACTAAAGAAGGTTGATCGGTAGTAATACCAATGCCAGTGCCACCAATACTTGTGGGGGTTGGGTTGTTTTTGGACTTGGCCTGGGTGCATGCCGCTTGGGTTCCACACATTAAACTTTTGTCATATCATGCCAACATGGGGTGTGGCAAGTAAATACTAAATGTACTAAGGGAACATTCAACATTTAGTGACTGAAGAGCCAGTTGAAATTTATAAAATCTTTCTATTAAAACAATTTTTCAGAAAAATAGGGTTCTTAAGTCATCTGTTATTACTCATTCCATTACTGATGGGTGTTTCCTTTCTAACCTTATGTTTAGAGTAGTGTGGAATAGAAACATCTTAATTATGTCCTTCTCTCTTCAACTTACATGTGCTATCCATTTTAGTTGTTGCTATGGTTGAAAGTCTTCAAGTGATGGGGGTTTCTGTTATTTAATAAAGTTCTTTAGTTGTGATCCTGTAACACCAGTTCACAAGGTTCAAAGTATGATTTTCTCTAAGATTTACAAGATTCCTTTGCTCAAAGACATTTTTAATCATTAATCTGAAAAAGCAGTTGTATACAGTTGACAGTTAAGACATTTCTGAACATGTGCCCCATGCATAAGACCCATATGAAAGTCTCGACCTGACACAGTTATTTAAGAATAGGACAAGATTTCTTAGTTTTATGTTTTGGTTTTCTATTAAGTCACAGTGTTGGGTTAAACTAACCATAGTGCATCCTGTTCTATATCGAATTCCCTTACCAATTAATATTAAAGTATTAACAAATCTAACATATTGAAAACACTGCACAGTTCTCTGGATTTTATATGTTCTTACTGCTAATCTTAAACTGTTAACAAAATTATCTTTATCATTCTCAACATGATTCAAACAAATATATTCAACTTAGTTGTTTCTAACATAATGTCTAAGTTGATAAGTCATCCATCCTATTAATCGAAATAGGGTTATAAAAACAAAGACGAAAATAATGTGCAGAGTAATACAAATGAAATTCTGAGATTAGCAAATACAGGGTGTCCATAAAGTTAGTGTGTACTTTAAAAAATATAACTTAAAAGTGCACACGAACTTTATGGACACCATATATATATATATATATATATATATATATATATATATATATACACACACACACACACACACAGGGTGTCCATAGAGTTCGTGTGCACTTTAAAAAAATTTATAACTTTATTTGTATTTGCGATAGAAATAATTTGTAAAAAGGATTAGAAAGAAGTAAATCTATATTTTTTAAGGTTTTGTTGAAATTTTATTTAAGTTTCCACATGTCCTCCATCATTAGAAATACAAAGGGTAATATGATTTTGCAGTTCACGGAAAACATTTGACACCTGATTTACAGTAATGCCTGAAATCACATTAGTTATTTTAGCTATACTTAAAACTAGGTACATTAAACTTTATAACATTTTTTACAGATTATTTCTATTGCAAATACAAATAAAGTTATAAATTTTTTAAAGTGCACACGAACTTTATGGACACCCTGTATATTTTACATTTTAATAACTTAAAACGTTATTGACTGAATGGTTTGTTTTTTTTTTACAGTTTATCAACCCCTTGCAGGTTATTTAAAACCAAAAAATATTTTTACATTATAAGAATTTTTTTTGGAATAATGATTTTCTGATAAAATTCATACTATTTAACCCATAGCTGGGGAGAGAAGAGGTGGATTCATACCTTTCTCAAATGAATTTGAATGGAATCAAAACTTCTCTCCAACTTTCAATTTTGAACTGTTATCCATTACACCACCTATATATCCAAGCCAACACCTCCTGGTATTCCTAAGCAGTTACCCATCTAGATAATGATCAGACTCAATGTTGCTTAGCTTTGGTTATTGTACAAGAACCAGTGTTTCAATGCAATATTGTCTTAAGCTTTTAGAATACATGAAATTTAAAAATATGGATGGAACAACAAGGAAGTTTTAAGGAAAATGGGAACAAAATGGATACTTGTACTTAGAATCCTAGATAAAATGACAGTTGAAATGTGTGGGAGACAAATGAAGAAAGAGGGTTTGGAGAATTTGGCACTCACAGGATATATGAAAGGCAAGAGGAAAACAATGAATAACCTACTTAATGAACTTGTGCAAATGGATGGCAGAACACGGAGGCGGAGGGATAATAAAGAGACACACATTGCCTAGAACTACAAAGAATAGGAAGTCGTGGAGAGCCATTATCGTTCATGTCCTGAAGGGACACAGTACATAAAAGTAAAAAAAAAAAAAAGCACAGTACATTTTGTTCTCATAAAATCATTTAATTTTGCTAAAAACCCACAATAACTGGGTACATAGTGAGGATGGACTTCAGCTGCATTGATTCGTGACAGGTGCCCAAAACCCAATAACTATTAATATTAATGCAATGAAAACAGACTTAATAAAAAGGGAAAATGCAAACTACAACTACAGTCGCTAACAATATGAAAAGAAAAAAGAAAAAAGAGGAAAAAAAAGAAAAAGAAAGGATAAAGAAAACCAGTGAGGAGTGATAACCGGGTTGCTCATGTTATAATATTTTTGTTTTTTTTTTCTTTTTTACATATTACCAACTACTTGAGGTGTAGTTTCATCTTGTCTGTATTCATTGCATGGTTTATAGTTAATTGTTGTATTAGCATGAAGTCACAAATCATCATGACTGAGGGTTTGAATACACTGGACTTGTTCAAACTATTGATAATGTCAAATGATGCATTCTAGCTCAGAAACTGTGACTCAGATCTATTTAGAATCAGTCAGTTATGTACCATGCATAATACACACTTAGGCAATCATGTATCTTTCATTACATGACTGACAATGCAAATTTTTTCCTGCAGTAGGTTGCCATCTCTTTCTGCAGTAGACCAGTTGCCATCCAAGTCTATAGAACCCAGTCTGTCCTGCTATTTACCCATAGCTAGGGGGAGAAGAAGAGGATTCATACCTTTCCCAGGGGTATTAGTACATAAGTGAATGTAATGGATTCAATTAGAATTCAAACTCAGCTCTCCAATTCGAGCTGATATCCATTACTCCACCGTAATCCACATGTTGGCTCTGTGGGTGCTGAAGAAACCCAAAATGTTCCTGAGCAGGCATCTGCAACAAGGATTAGCTAATCACCATAGCAGACAGTTGTGTTTAAAAACAAGTAGCCTATCAGTATAAAGTTATTTACATTATTCGGACTATTGTCCTCATCTTTGTTGCCATATTTATCACAACATTTTGGCTGTTGTACACTCCAGCCTTCTTCAAGTGGTTGGAATGTCGAACAGAACCCTTTATTTCACTCACTGGGAAATTAACAGGCAATAACTGATATCCATTAAAACATGACACGCAGAACTAGAACAGTCTACTCCAGTGAGCGAAATAAAGGGTTCAGTTCGACATTCAAACCACCTGAAGAAGGCCGGAGCATACAACTGTTGAAACATTATGATAAATATGGCGACAAAGATGAGGACAATAGTCCAAATAATGTAAATAGTGTACATAATACCTCATCTCAAAAATATAGATAGATACTGAAGGGCTGAAACGTTGTAATAAATATGGCGACAAAGATGAGGATAATAGTCCAAATAATGTAAATAGTGTACATAATACCTCATCTCAGAAATATAGACAGCTACTGAAGGGTCAAAATGTTGTAATAAATATGGCAACAAAGATGGGGATAATATCCAAATAATGTAAATAGTGTACATAATACCTCATCTCAGAAATATAGATAGATACTGAAGGGCCAAAATGTTGTAATAAATATGGCAACAAAGATGAGGATAATAGCCCAAATAATGTAAATAGTGTACATAATACCTCATCTCAGAAATATAGACAGATACTGAAAGGCCGAAACGTTGTAATAAATATGGCGACAAAGATGAGGACAATAGTCCGAATAATGTAAATAGTGTACAGAATACCTCATCTCAGAAATATAGACAGATACAGAATAAAATTATTCATTATTAATTAAATTATTTAGCTCTAATAAGATCCTCATATATTAAGATCATTATATGGACAATTTAAATTTTTATATGCAACACAAATTCTAATAACGAAATCATGATATTATTTGTATCAATAAAAATGTACCATAAGGTACTTAACCATATTTAAACAGACTGGCCAAATCTACCCAGACAAACAGGTTTGTTTATAGCTGAATTTAATAATACTAACTGGACAGAGTGCTAGACACTACTGAATCAATCTAAGCAACATAGTGGTATCTGTATAGTGATGATATACTTTGAAATGAGAGATGTATTTGGTGAAGCAGGGGAAATAAATGAATTTAGTTCTGATGATGTCTCAGATTTCAACACCACCGGTCATAGATTTAAATATATATATATATATATATATATATATAGTTATAATGTATGCTATATCTATGGGTAAAAATGCACAATTTTCAGTCACACTTATTGAAGGTCCCATGAATTCCTTGATATAAAAACCTACTGGATCTAAAGAATAGAGCTTATTGAAGGTCTCATGGACTCATTAATATAAAAAACACCCAATAAATTATTTATGCAAAGGTTAGATTAAAAGTGTTAAATATTTATTACTATTATTAATAATAATAATTCATATTGTTATATTAAGATCATA